ACTATGATTTATTTATAACGGAAACTGCCCCAATAATCACATTGCTTACAAGAATATCCTTGACCCATCCAGTTGTCCAAAGTTATTTTTCAATTACTATAGAACCATTTAGTATTACTTTATCTGATACAACTCTCCACAAAAACTGAAGCACAATATCTAGAAGGCAGAGTTTTTGGAAGCAAGGGCTGTATCTTTTCATCAGTGTATGTCCAGTGTCCAGCACTGTATCTTGGATATGATAAGCACTTACAAAAATCTCTTTGAATGACTTAATAAATGAATAAATAAGTGAATAATGAAAATGTGAAGAGCAGTGTCTCCTTTTATCGATCCTGTAGATTGAAGCTAACAGTTTCAGCTATTGAGAGACCTGTGGTGAGTTAGGTGCTAAGGAAAACATTATATGTAGGGTACGGAGTGGGACTGAAAACCTTATCTAATCAATAATTATAGGGTAAATACAGAAGCAAATTATCAGAGTTCTCAAAGAAAGCCAAAACAAGCAAAAAGAGAAATAGAGAATTTTAGATTTTTTTACATTTAAACATTTTATAGTATAGTTTCTTAAAACTCAGATATAGTAATCAAGCTCCGTTCCAGCAAACTCACTTTCACTTGTTAGCACAGGCAGGGGTGAGGATGGGTGGCAGTGGGTGTGGTGGTATCAGCTATGGTACAAGCAGAAAACAACTTGATTAGTTCCACAAGGCATCCTCAATTGAACAGAAAAGTGAAGATTCAGCACATCTACACAACCAAGAGAAGAAACAAGTACATGATGCAAACAGCCCTGCAGGAAGGCATATCAAAGAGCTACCACATCCACCAATTAACAGTGAAATATTATTCCATAGGGACTTAGCAAATTAATGCTAAAGGGAATTGTATATTCTTTAATATATGTTCATTTAGAAGAATGTAAAATTTTTTCCTTATTAATGAATGTCTCCAAACACTCAATTTATCGCCGTAGGTTGGTGTCAGCTTTCTGTTGTTACTCTAACAAACTACCAAAAACTTAGTAGCTTAAAACAACACTAATTTATTATCCTACAGTTTGGGAGGTCAGAAGTTCAAAATCCGTCTCACTGGGCTCAAAGACAGACGTCAGCAGAGCTGGTTCCTTTTGGAGTCTCTGTAGGGGAATCTATTTCCTTGTCTTTTCCAGCTTCTGGAGGAGACCTACATTCCTTGGCTTGTGGCCCCTTCCTCACGTTATTCAAAGCATATTTTACTCCAATCTCTGCTTCCTCATCCTGTCTCTTCCTTGACTCTCCTGCTTCCATCTTATAAGTGCTCGTGTAATTACATTGGCTCACCTGGGTAATCCAGGCTACTCTTCCCATCTCAATATCCTTAACTTAATTCCACCTTCCATGGAATGTAAGGTAATAAATACACAGGTTCTGGGGATTCATATGTGGACATCTTTAGGGGGCCCATCACACAATTAGATTAGTATGAAAGAAGTCAGTTAAATGTGAGGAAGGATAAGAAAATGAAGAAAGCCTCCCAGCAGCAACAACAAAGAAAGTATTATTGCTAAGAAATTCCTTCGTACCTTCCTAGTATTTGATCTAGTTTTGAACTAGAAAATAAGATGTATAATAACACTCTATAAGAATAATATAATTCAGTGTCTAAAGATCTGGACATGTCCTTCGAGAGGAAAATTCTCCAATAATAAATAGCCATGAAGAAGCAAAGTACTCTTTCACTTTTACAATAGTTTGCTGCATTAGGAAAGAACCTGTTTTGTTCTTTAAAGGGATCCAGAATCTAAAAGTAGAAATAAAACCAGCAGAATTAGCAAAAGCATCCAGTCTGCAAGGGCACAAGAAATCAGCCACTGCAATTGCAACAGGGCAACAGTCAAAACAGCCTCAGACATCCAGTTATTGGAACATAGCGTCAGTGTGAGACCCTTATAATTTCTTCCGAGTAGAGTAATAATACTGAGGCTGTCAATATGCTGCTAGAGAAAAAGAATGCAAGGGAAGAAAATCAATAGATCCAAGAGTTTGATATATTGAGAAACTAGAAACCAACTGTGGCTAGCATTTTTTGTCATTGTATAATAGAGGAAAAATCAGAAACCTGCTATTACACACTGCTGGTAGCATTCTGCCTGAAAAAGCATCTCAGTGTGAGAATTACTAAGTGCCTCTTCCCTGAGAACAAGTGTGAACCAACAGATAACCCAGCATTTCAGACAGTATCATTTCCTTAGGGGAGAAAGTAGGGGGAAAATAAAGTCAACTGTGACTAAAGTTGTGTTTGACACTAAGAAACAAGACCAAAATGAGTGAAAACATTTCTAAAATATCTTTTTGTAAATGCATAGGCAAAGTTAGAATACATGTAAGACTTAGGTCACGGCCTCTGTGTGTGTCGTCTCCACACATTTTCTTTTCTTTTGAAAACAATGTCTACATAGTCTCAACCAATAGTGCCAATGTTGTAATGAATTATGAGTACGGTTCATGCCTATTTTTAAGGAGATAGATGCTCATTTCTATGAGATTTTTGCTCTGTGGGAAAGTGAGTAGGAAAACAAAAGCAATTTTTTGATATGTATATGTATAACCTTGCCTATGATGTCCATGTAATTTTTAGCAATAACTTTGTGACCTTAAAAGGAAGAGAAGGCTTCTAACTAAGAGGGAAGGCTATAGGGTCAGATCTGGGATTGAATTCCAGCTCTGCCACTTAAAACTTTTAAAACCCAGATTCCTCATTTGTAAAATACAGTTAAAGCCACATTGTTTTGAGAACCAAATGACAGGAACACTGTGAAACGCTTACATAGTGCTTGGCACATAGAATACTTAAAACAAAACAGAGTAGCTGTTAACAGCAACATTAATAAAACAAGAGTGAACGAATAAGTAAAGGGGCTAAGCTGTTACCTCATAACTTTTGAACAAGAGCTATGTTCTCATTCCGTACCTGAAACAAAAACAAACCTAGAATAATTTTTGAACTTTAGTAGATTTTTAAAGATTTTCTAGCACAAAGTCTTAACCAATGAAGTAGTTTTAAAAAACAGCCCATAATTTTAAACACATTTTTGTTTTTATTTTACCAGGATCATATGGGTATAAATTGTGGAAGTGAGCATCTGAAAACATACTTAATTATCCTATGTACTGTAAGTCTTCTATGTGTATTAGAGGAGACAGCGTCATAAAATTGTATAGCTGGCAGAGACTCGAATATAATTATTCCAATTTCCTCATTTAGCTGAGATTATGCAAGGCTCAGAAATATTGAGAATTGCCCCGGTTGCCCAGATAGTGAGGTGGAGAGTCAAGATGGCATCCGCAGCCTTCTGACTTCCAGTCCGGGGTTCTTCAGACATGTGACAGATACAGTTTGCTATCTAAAGACTATCCTTCTTTGCAAATCTTTGTGTGCTGGGGGCGGGGGGAATGAGCATTGTGTATTTCCGTAGAACAAACTGGGATGCCTTTGAAGATGTGGACACTTAACAGGGGAGCGGGAGCTGGAATGTGTATATCACTTTCTCCTCAGAATCTTTGTCAGGGCTTCCCTGGTGGCGCAGTGGTTGAGAGTCCGCCTGCCGATGCAGGGGACACGGGTTTGTGCCCCGGTCTGGGAAGATCCCACGTGCTGCGGAGTGGCTGGGCCCGTGAGCCATGGCCGCTGAGCCTGCGTGTCCGGAGCCTGTGCTCTGCAACGGGAGAGGCCGCAACCGCGAAAAAAACCAAACCAAAACAAAACAAAAATCTTTGTCACAGTATCTTTTGTGGAGAAGATACATCACTTAGGGCATTGTCTCCCCAGTGGATTGGTTTAAGAAGACTATGCTTTCCTGAGAACTGAATTCCTGGAACTCTTGACCAAGAGTTTATATGCACCCTGCAATCCAAACCCCCTGTCTTTACCTTATTGTACTGCAGTCTGTTGGTAAACAGGCGTTTGTAGAAGACAGTAAACTTGTCAATATGATATTATTTCATAAATTAGATAATATCTTTTGCTCCATTATTTCAAATACAGGAAATCAACTTAAAGTTAATAATGAGGTTAAAGGAACAATTGGAAAGCGGATAAAGATACCTATAATAGTTTTCAAAATTTGCTGACATTTCTCCAAGTTTACTTCATTATGGTATAAAATGTAAAAAAGTACAGTTATGTGAAAGAAAAGTTTAACATTTTGATACTTTGACAGTTGATTTTCTAAAAAAGACTTTGTGAGATAAATAATTGCTACACAAGCCTCCCTCCTAGGTTTTTTTTTCTAAAAAGAGGGAGAGGGACATTTAGGCGTGAACGATTACCAAAACTTCAAATTGATCTTCAAAAATATTTTTAACATCAGAACGTAAATTAGTAATTTAGAGATCCTTGAGAGAACAAGGGACATTTATTTTAAGGCTCTGGGGGAAACTCTTGAGTATTTCACAGTCTTTAAAGCAAACAAACAAACAAAGGACCTATTTAGATCCATAACTTATTATTTTTTTTACTAGGTCCGGTTCTGACTTGGAGCAGGAATAGGAAATAAATTTTTAGGATTTAAAAATCATTTTATAATTTATGGCTCTAGCTTAAAATTTCTGGGCAAAATGCAATATCAGAAACAAACAGTGAACCAACCCAAAAAATCCTCCAAACAAACAAAAAAACCAACTATATATCTACATCCACATCTTTATACCTTTACTGATACATCCATATCTGTATGTCTATATCTCTTAGTCCCCTTTTCCAGCAAGTGTCTACTTCTGGTATCCCTGTTCCTGGAAGTGGAAGCATCGTGGAAGCCCTTGAATGGGACAAGAAGGGCTACAGGAACAGGTAACCTAGCTCAAAAAATGTCCTGAGTGAAAAGATGAGGCGGGAACAGGACCAGAGAGTGTTAGGAGAAACCAAAGCGTCCTAAAAAGGAGGCCCGAGCAAGCCCTTGAGCAGTTTCACTTCCGCGGGGCGCCCAGCGTGGCGAGCCCTCGCCCTGAGGCCCGCGCCCCGGGGCTGCGTTTCCGGGACCTCGGCCGCAGCCGCCGCGGTGGGAAGCGGGCTGAGGACGGTTGGGGGCACGGAGACCAGCTCGCGGAAAACCTCAGACCAGGAGAGGCCGGGCTCGGCGGGCACCTGTCCAGGCGCCCGGGCTTCAGCAGCCGCGATGCTGCCAGCAGCGCCGGGCCGGGCGGGCGGGAGTCGGGAATGGCCCGCAGGCGGCCCAGCGCCCCGAGGTGGGTGTGCGCGCGGCCGGGCGGCCGGAAGGAGGCCAGCCCGCCCCGGGGTCCCGCGGAGACTGTGCGCCTCGAGGCCGCGGGACCACGGCTGCCGCTCCGCCGCGCAGCCGGCTTCTGTCGGGGGCTCCTTGCCGGGGGAATCGGGACGCGACGCGGTGGGAGCGCTCCTTGAGTCTGGGCGGCGTGCCACCGCCGGTGCCGCAGCTTCTGAGTAGCTGGAACTTTCCTGAGCACCCAGGACAGGCTCCTCTAGTTTCTAAAATCAGCTTGGAACGTGTTTTAAAGTTACGCATCAGCCTAAAACTTTTGTCAACATGGCAAACCTGCCCTTTGGTAGCATCGTCCGTTTACCCGCCGGGTCTCCCAAAATCCAATCCGGTAAATTTGGCCTGTGACCTACTAATCAGACAGGTTACTTTCTGTAAAAACTCCTCGAAACACAGATTTTCTTAACTTGTTGAAAGGAAAAGCAGTCCGTTCGGTTGAATACATAAATGCATTTACGGGTCAAACATAAGTTAAGGCACTTGTTTTCATTCCTTTTTGAAGTATGTCAAATGCATTTGTGAATTGTACACTGATTATAAAAAGTGTTCAGTTTTGAAAATGAAAAAGAAAAGGCTTCACTTGGATATTAAGATTCCTGGAGATGTTCACACTGAGATGTGCGATAAGAAAATCTGAGTGAAATTCTATTAATTTGCTGAATGGAGTTTCTCATAGCTTATTAGCATTTTGTTAAGTAATGAAATTATGGCTTTAGCTGTTTCTCTTGGCAAGTGTTTTTTTTCATATATAAATTTTAAAAGACTGCTTTTCAGTTAAAATGGGTATTTGTGGCAATGGAAATGGCAAGAAAGGAATTATATCTTAATACGTTAACTTTCTAAATGTTAAACATTATTCTGAAAACTGGTCTGATGGACTGCATCTGTGCTTGGTTCAGTAAATAAACCAGCCTTGTCTTTTGAACCTTGAGTAGGTTAGCTCTTTTGTAATTTCAACTGAACAATTTAGTTAAATAGAATCAGCTACAATTTGTTTCAAACTTCTAGATGGAGCACTTTAGCCAGAACATGACTATTATTTCACTTAATACTCAAGTAATACTTTGAGGTATTTGCTATTGTGAATAATGCTGGAGTGATGTGAACCAACTTTTGTCTCATCCTGAGTATCCCTGTTCCTCCCATGCGTTTCCCCCCATCTCCTTTGGTCCTTCCAATATGGTATTTATTACTTGCTTCATTTGTCTCCTCATCTGGCTCAGGTAATGACACTTTTCTTATACTGAGCTATCTTTTTGTTATTAACCCATGCCATTCCTAGATATGAAAAGTATTCTAAAAGAACTATTTCTGATTAATCCTTTTTTAAAAAATGGATACCTTTCCGTGTGACCTCTGTCTCTGCTTTGGGCAAGTGTCTCCACAGCATCTTAGACTTTGGCTTAATGTGACACATTAAGGGTCAGTTAGTCCAACTGCCTCATTTTAGACATGAGAAAACTGAGACTCAGGGAGTGATTTGCCCACAGTCCCATAACCAATAATTATTTGAAGATCCTGTTCATCATTTCACCAACAGTCTTTACCTGCCCACCCCCAAGACTTGTGTAGTGATATGAGTGTAAAATGGGCAAACACAGTTTAAAGTGGTAAATACAGTTTCATGCCTATGAAGATTATATGTCTAGCATTAGGTGTATTGTGTATTTGTAACGACAATATCTTGTGTTTACTGCCATCAGAGAAATCTTTGAGTGTCCAACTTGTCCTTTAATGGAAGCAGAAAAGATATGATACCCAGAACTAAGACAGTGTGAAAATGGTGCACAGTGGTGAAAATTCCGCTTAGACTTTATTTTCTGGCTTTATGTTTAACTAGATACTGTCCACTAATGTCCAAAAGAGAAATTCCTTCCTTGTTTTATTCCAAAACTAATGATTGTTTAAATTTAAACTGCTACCTTCAATAAGGACTGTTTATTAAAGCACAGATTGCTCCCTACCCCGTAGTTTTTGTATTTTTTATTAATATTATTTGATGCCTCTGATGAAGAGAGAGATCAGTTGTTAGGTTAAAAGCAGAAAGCATCTGTCCCGTCTCACATCTTAATATGTTAACTTTCTAAATGTTGAACATTAACTTTCTGAAAACTGTGGTCTGATGGACTGCATCTTTGCTTGTGAGAAACATGGTTTGTCTAGGTCTTTCCTTTGTGTCCTAAAGTTCTTGAAGATTTGAAGCTCTTTACTCTAACTACAGTCTTCCAACATAGCCAACAAGGTAGATTTCTCCTACCAGGGAAATACCCTATTTAACTCTAGTGGCTGGTAAAACTTGCTTTCTTCAGACCAGCGAGAAAGGTTCTGAGATAAGCTTACTTATGCTGAGATTTTAAAGAGAGGTAGCTCTCTCAGGGCCTTTTTACTTTAATATGGGATAATTCTGTAATATTTACTTGCTTAGGATTTCAGGCGTACACAACAGCCTACTGGGCGTCGTACTTGGGGTAGCAGAGGGGCCTTTCTTGCCACATGTATCTGAACATGTGCTTTAGGTGATCATACCCTACTTATGATGGCCTCCAGTCCAGCTTCATTGCATATGTGCTTTGCGATCTTGGATAAATCAATTAATCTGTCATTATCCTAACTGGTCCATTAAAAAAGCAAAAGTGGGTACAAAGCAACATTTATTTGAAAGAATGTTTTTGAGGATTAAAGGAGAAAATGCATGTGAAGTGCTTTTCAGGGTGCCATAGCAAAGAGTAATTGCTTGATACGTGTTAGTTTTACTTCCTTGGTCATTGGTCAGTAGTGTCATATTTACATGTAAAAGATAGAGTTCTTATTGAGAAGCTGCCTCATGGTGACTTGGGGAGAAACTTAAAAGAATGAAGCCATCAAACTCCCACACTAAAAAAATTTGGGAGTGTGACTTCTGTAGTAAGATATTGTCATAATCTTGGGGAAATAGTGTGGTTAATAGTTCTGAGAGGAGAAAAAGAAGGAATCCACAATGAGAATAACTAAGGATAGATGGATTAAAAGGGTTTAAACTAGGGCAGTTACAGGAAAGAATAAAGCGGGAATTTAAGAGGACAAAATGAGAGTGTGTTTTATTTCCCCATATCACAGAGTACCAATTGTGACCCAATTAAAAAAAAAAATGTATGTGAAAAAAATAAGCATCAAACATAAAATTGTGGGATACTTCATCAAATTATAAGAAGATGGAAGATCTATTTTGCCAAAATATTTACTGTTGGGTTAAAAAAAATCCAATGTAAAGAATATCATTCCTGCCAAATATAAATCACATGTTTTGAAGATTTAAATGGCTTTTACCCGATCATCTAAGTTACAGCTGCTATTTTATTACTTTGTTTATAAATTATAGAATACCTTATAGTAATTTTGGAGACAACTATGAAATAAGAATAGGAAGGACAAACATTCTGGAAGTTATTATTTAAAAATAAGTTATTATATGGCCTAGTAATTCTTTCCTGTTTTAAATGTAAAGAATGGTATCTAAGTTTTACTGCAGACACTGAAATAGTCCAGGTGGTGAAAATAACAGATATTGTATGGACTTATACCCTCCTGTATTTATTTTTGACTCAGAGAAAAATAATGAGCCTTTTAGACCTTTACCACTGAACAGAAATATCATTGTTGCTTCCAAATTGAGATAATCCAGAAAGACCACTTCCCTTTGTAATCATGAGAAGTAATTCATCATTGCCTTGTGGTATTTTATAAGATTTTCTTTGCTCCAGTTTATTAAAATAAGTTTTGTTTTATCATATTAACCATGTGCCATATTTTCCTTTCTTTTAAGCTCCTGTACCTCTTTTCCATATTAGTAATTCTCATTGCTTCATGATTTATGTGTTCCATTTTATAAGGAAGACATACTGAAAAGTGTAAGAACAGTTCCTGACTTGGAATTTCATTTGCCTGATTTCGTTTGGTCATGATCTACGCTGAGGTGTAAACTTCATCCTTTGGTCGGGATCAATATCCTCATTCCCTTTTTGTTTGAATTTATCCTTAGGATCATGTCTAACTTTCAGAAGAAAACATAGTGTCAGACCACTTGAAATTTTGGCCTTCTTTTAATAGCTACCATTTATTACGTTTCTACTTTGAATTCATAATATATGGATATCACATTACCTTGATAGTTGAGAGCATCAGAGGATTAGCACCTACTTTGGACAGGAAGTTATATTGTTCCATATAATCATATGAAAACATTTAATAATTCATTGTGTTCTTTCATTTCCTAAAAAAACGTGTAAGTTTTGTTTTAGGGTTTGGGGTGGAGGGTGAAGCACCAACATCAAAGATATGGAGAAACAAATCATATCAAAGTGGTAGGATTCTATAAAATCATGGAACTGGAATGACACATTGTAGAGCAGGGCTCCCCAACCCCCAGGCCGTGGACCGTTAGTGGTCCGCAGCCTGTTAGGAACTGGGCCGCACAGCAGGAGGGGAGCAAGGGGACACTTCACTGCCGCTCCCCATCGCTCGCATTACCGCCTGGACCACCCTGCCCCCCGCCCAGCCAGCAGAAAAATTGCCTTCCACGAAAGCGGTCCCTGGTGCCAAAAAGTTTGGGGGACCAATGTTGTAGAGTATTTCTTGTGGCTGTGTGAAGAATCCCTAAAATTTATACATTTTCTACATTGGCCAATCACATTTTATTTAGATTTAGTAGACCCATGTAATTAAAAATTCTCAGGAGACAACTACAGTTTTAATACAATTCGTGAACTGTTGGGTCACAGTTGGGAAAGTGAGTGAGATAAAACTGAAGCAAAAATCTACTTTGATTTCAATTAAGGGGATAATTTCCTTAATTTCCTCATTACTTTTCAGTAAGAGTTTAGAACTTTCACTACTCCAGGCACTTCTCTGTAGACCAGAGGACCCTTCCTTTATCATATCCTGTCCATCCATACCTATGTAAAATGGGTAGAA